AATAGTGAGATTGACCGTCACATTATAACGCCCCCACGGCTGAAAGGGCGAGCATGTTTGGTGTGCATGTTTGCAAATCTTTACACATAGTCGGTGGATATAAAAAGAAAAAGATTAACTGACTGAGAGAATAGAGAGTTGTTGAAGTTGAATTTTTATTTTATTTTAAAGAGAAAACTGATAAAAACACACGGAGGAAAAGAAAAATACATGTATTTATTTATACACAGGCAGTAACGTATATAAAAAAAAACCCAGCTCGGTATTAAACAATTGACATAAAAGTGTAAAATTCTTAAGAAATGTTTACTTAAAAGACAACACAAATGACCCCATGAGTGTGTTTTTCTATTTTCTGTGATATATTTTAATCATTAATGTTACTTTTTTTTTCACTGATGACTACGTTGAATATATAAAGTTTAAGTATCATTGAATAGGGTCGATTATAAACTACTTACGTCATTATAGCGTAAATAAAGTGTGTGACCGATAATTTAGGAGCTCCTGGTGGGAAGATCAAAGAAATCTCTTGAAAGGTTTTGAATACTGAGGAATAAATCGTAGATCTGGGAATTTTTTATACTTTTTCTAGACGTTCTTTTCGTTACTGAAAACTATTTTCATGTTAAATTAAATCTGTTTGAAAGCTATATAAAATTTCCTCTACGAGAAGAAATAAGGTTAGACTAGTTAGGCTTAGCGAGTACGGCAGGCAACGACGAAAAATGTTCTTATGACTCAAAACCTGCATCTTATATAGTCAAAATAAAATAGTATTTATTGGAAATAAGTTATATTTGTTAGATATAAGCTTCAACCAATAATAATGTTGGCAAAACCATTGTTACCTACCTTGACAAAAGCAAAAGTGACGCCATTTTGAAAAGGTCACAGGTAAATCGTACTCAGTTTTTCTAGTGTTTTTTTCTTCTTCTTTTTTACGATTTACTTTACTGGTTGCAGCAGCCACCATTTCTGGCAATAATGCCGTAAATGATGAATACTGCAAGCAACAAAATAAAATATAAAATGAAATATGTTTATAAATATCAACAAATTCGACATGTATATACTGATACACAATGGAAATGCAACAATCTACATTTTACATCAGTAGCTTATTCGACACATACAAAATATTACTTACTTTTTAAATAGTGAGCAGATAGATTTGTTTATCGTTCGAGTGGTACTGTACCTTGGAATTACAAAATATTGAGCTCAAGTCACGTGATTTCATAAAAAAAATGGCAGCTACTCAATTTGAATCTTTATTGTTAAGCGCAAAGCTACACAATGGGCTATCTATGCTGTGCCTATCGCGGGTATCGAAAACCGGTTTTATCGTTATAAGCCTAAAGACTTACCGCTGAGCCATGGGGGGAGGGAAGGGGCAGGTGCTCAGTAGTTTCTTTTGAGTATCGGTACATAAAGTGTTACTTTCTGGTTAACAGTAAAACAATTGGAATTATAAGTCGAAGGAAACCATTTTTAATGTTGTTTACAAACTGTGTCTCACAACTTAATTTTGAAAATTTTACAACATAAAAGGAAAAAAAAATACTAGGTATATCAATTATATCCCGCCGGAGGCCCGGCATGGGCAGGTGGTTAGGGCGCTCGTCTCGCAATCAGACGGTTGCGGGTTCGAATCCCCATCACACCAAATATGCTTGCCCTTTCAGCCG